CAAGGGAAAGTTCATACGCTGTTTATATTTTATACATGAAACCAAAATGTGTAGGCAGGTTTGTGCTTTTTCACCATCAAACATATTCTCTTAATTTATATTCTGAATTAATGCTCTCTTTTAAAAAGTCCGTGTGAAGGTGCTCATTATTATTGGGCATGGAGTAGTTTTCAAGGACTGTTTGCCAATAACTAAAACTATTTTGGAAACCCCCAGTAGGCTTAAAAAACATCATATACCTGTAATAAACAGCAAGTGCCAATATCAGAGTTGTCAGTTTAGATGCAGATCTTCTAGTATTGCTAACCAGTGACCCTGGATCTAGAAATGGAATGCAATGTAAATTAGGTGAAATGTATTTTATAATCAGAGACAATGGAAGCAGTGTGGTTGATGTTCTTTGAAATGACAGAGTTCTTTTGCACTGCTTTAGATTAATTTAAACTATGGGTACACAAAGCTTTACAACTTTCCTCTTGGCAGAATGTGAGTACTTTCAACTCATTGATACTAAGGGAGTCTTCCAATTGCAGAATGAACCCCTCCCTAGATAAACAAAGGAAAACATTCAACTGAGATTCTGGCCTGTTTTCCTCATTAGCTGCTACACTGTCTTGAGCAGGGAATGAGTGTTTGGGGGAAAGCATCCTTGGCCTTAACAGGAAAGGGCATTGCTTTTACAAGAAGAGCACTGTATGACTTTCTAAAACATCTCTTTTCAAGTGCTATATGTAAATAATATTTTTAAAAACCCAAATTATATGTGCACCTTGGGGTGGGGTGGGGAACAACATGAATGTACAATAGAAAAATAATGAACTGTATCACTTTGGTTACTTAAGCAATTATTGCTTCTTTATAGACTCAAATTCTGTTTGATTTTCATCACAAAAAAACAGGTGGGGGTTCGTTGGCTGTTTATTGCTGTTGGTTTGATATTTTGCTGAAAAGGATTCTCCATATTATCATTCTTGTTGTTTTAGAACTTGTCACATTTTGCCTTTATTCTGGCAGCTAGGTTTCCTTGCCTTAATAGATGTTGTAATGAAGATATAAAAGAAAAGGTTAGAAAGAAGATAAATTAGGCAACAGCAGCATCAGATTCAAATGCCACTTAATGTACTTTCTAAATCTTTCATATTAGAACTGTTTCATGAACAATCTTACAACTACCTTCTGCTCTTTATCTCAAACATTTTAAAATATAGATAAAAAGCCCATTTAGTAATAGATGATGAGGGTTTGGAGTTATGACAACAGCCTGGGTTAGGTTAGCTTTGTCAGTCCAGGCAGAAATAGTTTCTAATCAGCAGCGATGGGTCAATGAGCACAAGATTTTAGAGGAAGATTTGGTACTTTCTCTCTGATCCACTTGGAACAAAAACCCATAACGTTTCAATGCCATTTACATTAGACCCTATGTGCCCGGATACTAGACTCATTTTTCCTTCCTCTTCCTGCCAAGCATTACATGTGAAGTAGGAATGGGAGGGTCATTTAACAATGAATTTCCCCATTGTATAGCCATTACAAAGCTATCCAGGCTAAATAACTTGTTGTTTTTTAAGTCACTGTGCAATTTCAAGGTTTTAATGGTCCTTAAAATATAATACCCTATGTCATTTATTTCCTGAAGTGAAATCTAGTGCCAGCCTTTGGAATTCATGTAAAACAAGTGGTTCAATATGGTTTGAAGAGAGAATAAAAAACTTGATAAGCAATTAATCTACCTTGAATGCCTTCCTAATGATTTGCGCTTTTCTTACAGATCTTTTTTTTTAAAAAAAAAATCCAGATTTATTCAAAGGAAAATCAAAATCAAATAAAATATACATCCAAATCTTTCCATAGCACATTTTTTAGAGTGAAACCTACACCGAGTGAGGCAGGAAAGACTGAACATTTAAATAATATAAAAATAAAGGTGTTTCTGGTCAAATAGTAGTAACTTGATTTTTTTTTTCCTGGTGCCTTGAAGCTATGGGAACAAGAAAAAATTTGAAAAATGGAAACCAGACAAATGAGCATAAAGAAGGGTCTCATTTCCTAGCAGGATAATCCTCTGCATGACACTTGGTTTGGGAAAAGAAGCTATCCTCCTCCTAATGCTGGTTTTTAGAGGCTGAGGCTTAAGAATAAAAGATAAGCCCAGAGTATCACTGAGTTTAAATGGCTCAGCTACCAACGGAGCTGATTGTGGCTGGGTGAGTCTGCCAATCAGTGTATCACTAATGAGCCCAGAGAGATTATAGAGATGACTTATCAGCAAAGTCTTATTGTCTGAGAGACATTGTACAAGCAGAATAGCACCTTGTTAGAAGATGGTGGTAAGATACAGATTTAAGATCTCAAAGTAGACCCAAGGAGACAAGGAAGGAAAGAGTAGAAGCGAATGGAAGAACACATCACAGTGGTTAGTTTGGTCAGGCATATTCATTCAGAGTGTCCAGTGAAGAGATCAGGACTTTTCCAACACAATAGAGATACACATCTCTCCCTCAGTAGTGTGATGCAGGGTGCAAATGGCAATTCCAAAGAGAGAAATCAATGAAAATTATAAGAATCATCAAAATAGAATCAACAGGGTCAGTGACAGAATCATAGAGCATGCTCTTGAGTAAATACAAGACACTCAGGAGTTTTGGCAAGCAAGGATACCTGAAGGGATATTCTTTATAGGAAAATGATAATCATGCCTGAAAGGAAAAGCATGAGATCCAACAAGACAATGTCTATGTTCAAGACTGAAACTGACATCATGCCTACCCATTTCTTAGTGAGAAAGTACTGAAGATTAAAGAGAAACTTTATAATATCATATGCATTGCATAACTTTGATAATTGCATACATACATATACACATATGCATATTACTAAATTAATTGCTTAATAAACACATATAGCCTTCACCCAAATTATTGGGTTAATCACAAACAAGAACACTGGTTGCCAGAGTTCCAAGCTGCAGAAGCTGCAGAACATTTACAAGTATAAACACCTGATGGGGCTGGGGATGTGGCTCAAGCGGTAGCACGCTTGCCTGGCATGCATGCGGCCCGGGTTCGATCCTCAGCACCACATACAAAAAAAATAAATAAATAAATAAACACCTGAAATGTGGGTTAGCCAGAGTAAACATTCCATCGACATTTTTGGCACCGAGCAAAGACTGGACTTGATTGGATTTGCTGCACACCCTGTAACCCGGATAAGGACTACATGCCTGTCATCTGAATGGGGGGTTGTCTCTGATTTGAGTATTGCCAAGTAACCCAATTTTAGAATAGCACAAATTTTAATTATATGTTTCATTTAACTGGCACCTGTCCTTGGAGGCTGTCATTAAATTCTAACAAGCTATGATGTGGGAACTATTATTATCTATGATTTATAGAGAGGCAAAAATAAATAAGGAGAGAAATAAAGGCAGAAAGACATTCTGGGAGTTTTAGAGGAGTGGTAGAAGACGAAGACTAGAGATTCTACTGGTGAAAAAGAGCACCATGTCCGTTATGTAGAAAGTTGGTAGAAAATGAAAAAAATCCAGATTTTTGAATTCCTAGTGCTTGAGGTTCCGTTTTACTAAATTCCTACTTTATCCAGCACTTTATATTGTGGGTAGAACACACCACTCTTTTCCTGGGTAAACTGGAGGAAAATGCCTCTTAAATAAAATGCTTGACTTTGAGACTGAGCCAGCTTTAAAACAAGTTCCACTAATTAAAATCCCACTCTTTGGCTTCTGTAGTCAGAACACTGAGGAAGAAAAGTCTGGGGAGAGAAGGAGTTATGAGATAGAAGAACCGAGATAGATAAAATGTATTGGCAGTCATTAATGTAGAGTAGTGAGTACATGGGGGTTCACATTATTTGTTTATTTTAGTGCAAATTTGGATATTTCTATAACAAAATGTTTAAAGAAATTCAATTTAGAGAAGCATTTAAATATTTGTGCAAACTTATCTTGGCAAAGTAATTTATTTTATACTGAAAAATTTGGCCATAAACATAGGAACAGAACATCTCACATTAATTATTTTATATTACTATTCTTATATTAATAATCCCACTGTAACTATACCAATTTCTCCAAAAAAAAATGTAAAAAGAAAAAATCTGTATGTTTTTTTCTAGACGACATCCATATGCAAGTTTTTTCCCCCGTAACAGCTCTAGGTTTCTAGATTAAATGCCAAATATGCTTCCCATTTAGATCAAATTTAGCTTTAACTAAAATAATTAGCCCTTGCTCCTAATTCTAATGGAAATGTAAGACTCTTAACTATTCAGTGATAGTAGCTCTATTCAATACCGCTGCTAACGGTGATTTATATGAAATAATTAGCAGACTGCTTTTGCTGTAGATACATGCAAAATTTGTCCTAAACCAAAGGCAAAACAATAATAAAAACTACCACCTTTTAACCTTTCCACATATTTAAATAAAAAATGTGTACTGAAGCCCACATTAATAAAGCCTGGAAAGCACATAAGAATATTTTACATTCATCTGTACTTCATCAGACAGGTTCATGACCTCCGTAGAATTACTGTAGCTCCAGCAGTTTTTAAACCGGCATGGGGGAGGACACAAAATATTATTTTATAATTAGAAAATTTTACTAGAATTGGCAGAAACAAGAAAACACACTCCAGTACTGAGTATATGCTCTAAAATTAGCCCATATAAAACGAAAGATATTGAATGGATTGGCTTTAATTCTTACAGGTGCCAGAAAAAAAGAAGTAACTAAAAGAGACTAAATATTTCATAAAGAGAGGTAAATATATGCTTGATGCAGAAAATTTAAGAGTTAGCATCTTACATTGAAGCTGGAGGTACACGCAAAGGCGAGCTCCAAGCCTCATTTCACAACGTGCTAAGTTACATAGTAATGGCAAATACATAAAATGTTTCTCATTAATTTTTTTTTCCTCTCACTAAATGGCATGTGTTTTGGAAATGTCTTAATGTTCATTTTTATCCTGCCTTTCTACAGATTTCCTCCTGAAGGACATTGTGTGAAATCCATCGCTATTCAGGGCGTCACTGCTTGCAGAAGTCCCACTAATGCAGGGAAGAAAGTCGGGTCGCATCTCCATCACTCAGCCTGAGAAAATTTCATCCACTGAGCTGATTCATGCTACTTCTTTGGATCTGCTACTGGCAGCACAATAAGGGATGAATGAAATAAGCACTCAGCAGCTGAATGCCCTTAAAGACCACTTGGGAACTTTATTTGGTGCCAAATAAAGTGACCTGCCAGTGTCAGCTGCGGGAAGCACATTGTACTGGGCTCGGCAGTCTGTCCCAGTTGCCTATTCATTTCTGAGGAAATTTTCAGGTATTGAATTTTAATCCTTGATGCCCAATTATAATTTGGGACCCTTTTACATTCGATGCTGGGCTTCACCCCATTTGGCAATTAAGTCAGAGCTGCCTAATACATGATTTTAATTTCCGGAAAGCAGGTGCTTCCTTTGGTCAGTCACCAATCTCTGATTTTCCTTCCTTCTGTAGCTTAAACCATTTTCATTTTCATACCCCCGGTGCACCTCCTTCCATAAGTGTTCACTCCATGTCAGATGGTTTTTCTGCTTAATTCTAAAGGGATTCCCATAGGCTTCTTCTAAAAGTGCTCATAACTTAAAAAAGAAGGAGGAGGAGGAGGAGAAAGAGGAGGAGAAAGAGGAGGAGGGGAGGAAGTTATTTTGTAGGTGTCTGTCTGATCTCCATTTTGCAATAACTTACTACACTGCCTTTTAAAGTAATCTGAATAAAAGCATGTTTACAATGTTATCTAACACTTGCAACAATGAAACAGGTTCCTTAGGAATAATGTCTTTTTACCAATTCGATGAAAGAATTCTCTAACAATTGAAAAACTACTGTTTGAGTTTCATTAAGATTGTGTGTCTTCTTCAAATAGTACTTTATTATTCAAAACAATTATTTGAGAAAGCCTCTTATGAGAGACCCAAATATGAGGACTCAAACATAAGGGGGTTTATTTGGAGGCAAACATTGGCATAAGTCAAATCCTACCTAAAATAAATTCCTGTCCACACACATGCACTAAGGGGGTGTGGTCTCATCTTCCAAAAAAACTTTGTGCAAAATGGAGCCAGAACCATTAGAGCAGTAGAAGGGAAATTTGGAAATGAGATCTGTTTGTTATGATGTGGACAGCTTGTTTATGCCTTCCATTGCTATGAACTGGTTGCCATGACACTATTTCTATTCTCATATCTGAATTATATAATATTTTTGTTGCTACCATGACCATCAGTAGTATGATTAAATTTAAATCTTTGGTGGTCACAGATCCATCTCATTTGTAAAAGGGTGAATAAGAGAGGAAGCTAAGAAACCTAGTGGGAATTTTTTTTAAGGTTATGAAAAAACAAGGAGAGAGAGAAGTTGGAGGTGGGGGAAATGGGGGGTGCTTAAATTGGGGACAACTTGAATACTGCCATCAATTAGCTTAATCTATTCATCTTTTTGCTGTCCTCTGTAGGCTGAAACCTCAGATTACTCTGTTACCTCTCTGAACTCTCTGGAATGCTATCGCATAATTAGCTGAGGATTAGCAAAACCTGACAGCTTTTAATGGGATCAGAGGCAAATATTTCCTTTAAAAGTACACATCAACTGAATGCAAAAATTGAAAGATACAAAAATGGAGAAATACAAAATTTGAAAGACGTAAAATTGGAGAGCTGTTGCCTTAAAAAAAAAAGAATATATTAATATCTCACTTAAAGAATATCTCTCAGCCATGATTTGCATGTGATTTGTGTGTGTTCTCCAAAGGTTTATATGCTGGAAGCTTGTTCTCAAGTGTGGTGGTGTTGGTAGGTGATGATACTTTTAAGAGGTGGAGTCTAGAAGAAGGTGGTTAGGTTACCTGAGATACCACCACTGGATGGTAATGATGTAATTATTGCAAACCTCCAGTTAGAGTGGGTTGTTATAAAAAGAGTAGGCCTGGCTACCCAAATCCCTCTGGTTTCCTATTTTGTCATATAATCATTCTTAAAAACACTCCTACACTAGCTCCCACTGTTGTGATACCATCAACCATGAGATCCTCACCAAAGCTGAGCAGATGCTCCATGCTCTTGAGTCTTCTGAACAATGAGCAAAATAAACCTCCAATTTTTCTTCATAGCAATAAAAAATGGACTGCTGAGGATGTATGTGGTAAAGTATGTGCTTGTTGTACTTGGTGTCTCAAGCCCTGGGTTTAATTGCTAGCATCACACACACACACAGAAATGAACTAATACACTCTCCTAAAATTTAATAAATGTGATTTGATTAAAATGTATGAAATCGCATTTGGTAGTGTTTCTCAAACTATACTCCAAGAAACATTCATGTCCTACTAAATATTAACTGTTACTTCCTTAAAACTGTATGATCTTATCAAGTATATTTCAATACAGTACAGACTATATTTGCCATCTGAGTGAATCACAGTATTTATCATAATATAAATACTGAAAAGTCCTTGCAGTGAGAGAAAAAAAATTGTTTAATTTCATCAAACCCAGAATTTTTTTAAAAAAATTGTCTATGAAACTCCCCTACCTTCAAACACTGATAATGGTGTTTTTTTTTTCTTCTGGAAAACAATAATAAAAATAATAAAACAATATACTCCAATGATATGATTTGTAATTTTTCTGGTGTTTTGCTTTTTTTTTTTTTTAAGTTAATGGTACCCAGGGTTGAACCCAAGGCCTTGTGCATATTTCACAAGCACTCTACTGCTGAGATACACACACAGTCCCTTTTAAAGTTTTATTTGAAATAGAGTCTCACTAAATTGCCCAGGCTGACCTTGAGCCTCCTGTCTCAGCCTCCAAAGTAATGGGGATTATAGGTATGTACCTCTGTACCCAGCTTGCTTTTGTTTTTAAAAGCAGAAATAGCTGAACTGCATGGGACCTGTGATATTAAAGTTTAATGTGGAGTTAAGTAACCTGGTCATGAGCTTTAAACCTTATGACACTGTTCTTTTTTACCATGCTTATTTACTTCCCTATATCTCTATCAGCCTCTATGCACGTTAAGGACAAGATCTATATTTTGATTTCCATCGTGTCTCTGAGAAATTCCCTAGTGCCTGACACATTGTAAATATTCCATAAATAAGTAAATATTTGTTTGAGTGAATGGACACTGTAGTAGACATCTTTTAAGTTATAGTTATAACCACATTAGAATGAGTGTTTAAAAAAATAATGCTTGGCTTCAATGTAAAAATAACAGAAATAAAAGTGAGAGGGACTAAATTGAACTGGTCTTTAATAGCTTTGTCAGAGGCCAATAAATTCCTCACCAATTACTCTATTGTCTGATGCTTCATTGCTCCTGTTAGCCGGTCTATTTGAAGTCAATGTTCATTCTATTCTATAATTTTTCAATTTGTTCTTAAGTCTTTATATCTTCAATTACCTTCCAATAGCTGTTTCTTACCTGCCACTTACATTTTGTTGGATGACTTTTTAAAAGCAAAACTAACAGAGAACTTTATATATCATAAGATGTCCTAAAAAGCTTATTGAAAAAATGAGAGAAGGCAGTGAAGGGCTCGAGGTGAAGGCCATGAGGTGTAGAAGAGTTAAAGGAGGTAAGATTTTGAATTTATTGTAAAAATCCTTATTGAGTGCCTATCCTGCTCTGTCCTCAGTGTATAAAGTCAAGAAAATGAAAGCTGGGAATGGAACCACCATTTGACCCAGCTATTCCCTAAAGACCTAAAAAGAGCATGCTACAGGGACACTGCTACATCGATGTTCATAGCAGCACAATTCACAATAGCAAGACTGTAGAACCAACCTAGATGCCCTTCAATAGACGAATGGATAAAAAAAATGTGGCATTTATACACAATGGAGTATTACTATGCATTAAAAAAATGACAAAAATCATAGAATTTGCAGGGAAATGGATGGCATTAGAGCAGATTATGCTAAGTGAAGCTAGCCAATCCCTAAAAAACAAATGCCAAATGTCTTCTTTGATATAAGGAGAGTAACTAAGAACAGAGTAGGGAGGAAGAGCATGAGAAGAAGATTAACATTAAACAGGGATGAGAGGTGGGAGGGAAAGGGAGAGAGAAGGGAAATTGCATGAAAATGGAAGGAGACCCTCAGGGTTATACAAAATTCATACAAGAGGAAATGAGGGGAAAGGGAAAAAAACAAGGGGGAGAAATGAATTACATTAGATGGGGTAGAGAGAGAAGAGGAGGGGAGGGGAGGGGAGGGAAGGGGGGATAGTAGAGGATAGGAAAGGCAGCAGAATACAACAGACACTAGTATGGCAATATGTAAATCAGTGGATGTGTAACCAATGTGATTCTGCAATCTGTATACGGGGTAAAAATGGGAGTTCATAACCCACTTGAGTCAAAATGTGAAATATGATATATCAAGAACTATGTAATGTTTTGAACAACCAACAATAAAAATTATAAAAAAAAAGAAAATGAAAGGTTAGACAAAAAAAAACAACAACACAATTTTCATAGTACAGATAGAATTAAGATTTATCAAAATTTTATTCCTACAAGTTAGTTCATACTCTAGAATGGCTTGATAATTCTAGAGTAATGGTTTGATATGTAAATTGTTCATCTTACATATGGTGCTCTGTTTTGATACAGGTTCATTTTTTTTTATCTTGATAATGCTCCAAATTTTCCTAAAATATACAATAATTTATAGACCACAACAACAGGATTTTGTCATGTAAAATTAATTTTAGTTATCTGAAATCAAAGTAATAATTGTTAAAAAGTCCACACAAAGAATGGTTTTAACCAAGGTTGATAAACTATGTCCTGTGGACAAATTTAGCCTGCTACATGTTTTCATTTGTGTGTGTTTTCTTTTCTTCCTTTTTTTTTTTTTTTTTTTTTTTGGTGCTAGGTATTAAATCCAGGGTCTTACATGTGCTAAGCATGCACTCTACCACTGAACTACACCCCCAGGATCAATGTCACATGTTTTTGTAAATAAAGTTTTATTGGAACAGCCACACCTATTTACTTTCACATTGTCAAGTCTGCCTTCATGATCCAACAGAAAGTTTGGCAGTTGCAGCAGGGACTGTACTTCTGCAAAGCTACAAATATTTATTATCTAGCCATTTATAGAATTAATGTGCTGACTTCTTGTCTAGACAAACCCTGGTAATTTGAGCCAAATAAAATGATAATTGGAGATAGAACAAAATGATTGATAACTAAAAAAAAATTTAATATCTTCTTTTGGATATGATTTTGTTCCTGTATTTGAATATGATGTGAATATTGTTCTGGGAATTTTTATCTAATAAAAGTAATATTCTCTTCACTGAAGGATATTAAAGATCTGAATCAGTAGCAGTTGAGAGTTCCATGTAACTTTTCCATGCTGTTCCTTTGTTCAGTATCTGTAAGTGCAGACATGAAAAACTCAGATGTCTAACTTTTCTAGCAATATATTTTATGCAGGAAACAGCTTGTCTGGGAAGGTAGTATATTTTAGTGGATACTGTAGCCAGATTCCAAGATGGCCCAAATGATTTTTAATTCCTGATATTCACTTTGTGTCATCTCATTCTACACATAACAGGGATGACTTGTGTAACCAATAGCATATTGCAGAAATTATGGAGTGTAATTTCTGAGCATAGGTAATAAGAAATATTATGACTTTTATCTTCTTTTGAAAGAATCAACTCCTATGTAGTGAGGACTCTAGAGCAGCTCTTTGGAAAGGTCCAAATGATGAGGAACTGAACTTTCTGCCAAGAACCAAGGAGCAACTGAGGCATCCTGCCAACACCCATTTTGAAAACAGACCTTCAAGCCCCAGTCAAGTCTTTGGATGACTGAGGCTTTTGCTGACATCTTGATGACAAACATCTAAGAGACTTTGAGCCAGACCATCAAGCTAATGTGCAGAATATATGAAATTATAGACATCACTGTTTTAAGCCACAATTCTTAGAATGACTTGTATACAGCAACTGATAACTAATATGGTATATAATATTGTGTGCTCTGGTTTTTTGGGGTGGGGGCAGGGGGCTGGAGATCACATCCAAGGCCTCACATATGCTAAGCACCTGTTTAACTACCAAGTTACTGCCCCAACCTTAGGACTCTGATATATTTGAACCCTGGACCTGCAATTTGCTACATATGTGTAACCTTAAGATTTCTTAATTATGTTATTTAGCTATCTCATTTACAAAAATGGGGATATAATTGTTCTTATAAAATTGTGTGGAATTCAATGAGATAATGAATAGAAAAAAAACCTTCTTGGCATGTAGTAATTGCTTAAAAAATCTTAACAATTATTTATTTGTAATTGTTATTAGAACTGATTAATTCACCTAAGAATTATTTAAAAAATTTTTTTCAGTTATACATGGACACAACCCTTTATTTTATTTATTTATTCTTATATGGTGCTGAGGATTGAACCCAGTGCCTCACATGTGCTAAGTGAGAGCTCAACCACTGAGCTACAGCCCCAACCCTCTCCTAAGAATTCTTTCAAACATTATTTTGTTGCTGTTGGCAACATATGTGAATATATAGTACAGTTTTAAAGAACTTTATCCTATATCCTGGAGTGTATACAATGCAGAAAACTGAAAGTAAAATTGATAGTTCAATAAAGCAAGTAATTGAAAGAAGCTATTGTCTGTATACCTAAAAAAAACATGAGACATATTACTACATAATACTGCATATTAACAGCACGGTGAAGAGCAGGCCACTACCCAAGAACATAGGTTAAAAACTACACAGTCTAACTTTAGCCACATTTTTTTTTAAATGAAGTGACAAATGTAATTTTTGATCTAATTTGCTAAAGCCTAAACCATACATATAGGTTTTTGGTAAAAATAAAAGATAAATAGCAAAATAATACGATTCTTTGCAGATTGTTCGAGTTATCTAAACCTTCTCTAATCCAAGGGATTATTGAACAAAACCAACATTCATTCAAAAACACTTAGGAAATCTGTTATGGATTACCAACATCATCAGTTAAACCTGTTTCAAATTTATTGCTTTCATTCAGGTTAAATAATAAAAAGGTCCATTTGTCCCACCACATGTATATACATGAATTTAGCTTTCATCATTCTCTACAGATTTAATCCAGTGATTTATGTTTTTTAACGCATATTCAAAGAATCTGTTGAAGAAGCTCACCCAGACAGACAGAAGAGTGAGGTGGGATTAACCGAATGCATGCAGGCTTTAAAGCCAGTGGATTCCTTTTGAGGTAAGTTGGAAAGAGAGAAAAAAGGTAACATTAGAACCCCCCTTGAGATTATAATCATTGTAATGACTTCTGCATAAGAGAACACGCTAAGGTGGAGAAAGTTCACCTGCTTCCCCAAACCCACGGCATGGAAGAGAAGCTGTTACTTCAACCCCTCTTTTTTTAACAGTGGAAAACACCACTCTAGTTTTTTCTTAGAGAAAAATCTGCCTTCTAATTAGTCCTCATATTAATGGTTAAATGTGAGGTTTCAGACTCTTTGATTTTCGTTGTGAAACCATTGTATTTCACTTAATATTAAAACCAGCAGCAAAAACTGGGGTGGGGGGGAAATTAGGCAAGGTGTCTTCTAAAAAAAAAATTTATAGCAATGCACTACATTATTTTAAGATATTCAGATAGCAAATTCTCAGCCAAAAAACAAACAAAAAAAGTAAACCACCAAAAAATAAACTCTGACTTACGCTGTTATTAATGACTTTAAACGTTTAAACACCCTTAGTTCAAGTCTTGCAGCAATATAGTATTGAAAGAAAGACAGGAAAAATCTTTTTCCCAATAGGATAAAACCTATTCTACACTATCAGGTATTTTGTTTCCATGACATTCTAATCTTTATGCATATTAAGAACTTCTTTCATACTAATATTGTTTGGTCTAGTATTTTAACAAATATCCTTTTTTCCATTAACTTCTTTCCAAACAGAGAAGAGAAGTGGAGACTTGCTAAGCACATTTTAGTACTTCATTGAACTCAATATGTAATTCTAAGTATTTTCAACCCTTACTTTATTATAACTTTCATGGTTTAATAGAATACCTAGGGCCATGAAGTGTTTTGTGTTCATTAACTTTTAAAAAGGAGGAGATATCCTGTCTAATTATCAGCATTTAGGACAGAATAAGAAGTGTTCTGCATACTTTCCAGATTCTATCCACAAAACAGACAATATGTAGGGCCATGAAAATAGGAGGTGGAATTCAATACTATCTATCAGTAGTTTCCATGATAATGGAAATGTTTTAAATTTGTGGTGTCCAATATTATAGCCACCAGCTAGATGTGGCTATTGAACATTTGAAATGTGGTGGTCAGTGCAACTAAAATTTTCATTTTACTTATTTTAATTAATTTAAATTTCAATAGATAACAAATGACCAGATTTTCCAAAGAACAATTGATTTCATGATTGATAATCTTAATTTCTAGTTCCTGTGGTTCTTGTCCCTACATTGTTAATAATATCCAAAAAAAAAAGAATCAAAGTTTCGTCTACCACCGAGCTATACCCGCAGTGCTCTGAGTTATTTTTAAATGCTATAGACATAATAATACCTATCCCTTGGTGTATTTTTGTTTGTGTGTGAAAAGCTTAGTTACTCAGATAAAATTTAATTTCATTGTTTATTTGGCTTGTGTGTGAAAAGCTTAGTTACTCAGATAAAATTTAATTTCATTTTTTCAAATTCATGGCTTATTAATATAACTGAATTCTTGTCTCATACTATAATTATCTTGAAATTTCCTCAAATAGAAGTGTCAAGAATTATTTTAAGAATAAAAAATGCTATCAGATCTTTATTTTCTATTTATATAAAAATGCAAAAATGCTTTTAGGATAATATTTGTAGAGTAACCAATTAGGATTTTAAAAAGTCACCCTTTTCTATTTTTGGATCTTAGGTTCTCCTTCAGGAAGATCCGTATTTGGTTGGAACAGAGGGAAACTTTGTCCCAGGAGAACTATACCTGAAGGTACTTATTATCATATTATTTAATTTTATTAGCTTTATTTATTTTTTTTTGTTGTGCTGGGGATTGAACCCAGGGCTTTGCACATGCTAGTTAAACATGGTTGCACTGAGCTACAACCACAGGCCTAATATCGTAAAATTATTTTAAGTGTTGCATACATGATGATTCTAATTCCAAATAATTTGTGGAATGGAATTCTAAGTAAAGAGGAAGTTAGAGTATAAAAAATACAAAGTTTCAATAGACTAGTGTTTTCATTATGACCTGATATTTGATTTATTTTGCATTTTATACTTATTACTCCAGTTCTAAAATTCCTAAGTCATCATTTTATTATTTCCTAGTCCCTATTATGATGTATAATTACAAGGTTATAGACAGGCCATTTAGTTTCATGTTTTTTTTTATTTGTTTAATTCCAGTTTGATGGCTAATGCCACCATAATCTGCTATTATTTTAAAACTATGTAGGATCAAAACTAATAAAAAACAACCTGATGGCAACCAATATAAATTTATTGAAGTAGATGATTTTCAAAGTGCATAGAACACCCAGTATCTCTTCCTCCTATTAGTCCCCTGCATGCAAAATCCTTTGTTGTTGTTGTTTGTTTGAGTTTATATATGCTTCCAAAACAATAGAATTTGTGATCTGTCAGCACTCCAAATTCCATATTTTTCTTTCTTCAAGACTGCACTCTCATGTGCCTCTATGCAGAGCTGCAATATCTTGTCTACTCCGGCCCCAAATCTATTCTGCACTGCCTGTCAATCACATCACCTTCCAAGGAACTTCACTGCGTACAAATCAAGATTGAGTCAAGTCTACTTCTAATCAATAGATCCTTATAGATTGTTTTAGTGTACCTAAATCACTTCCCAGAAAATATCTTGCCATCTCATTTCTAATGGGAAAACATCAGATGAGATTTCAATCTGGGCCACTAAAGAAGAAAGGCTAATGTACTCTTCTGATCCATCAAGGGCTAAACTCCATGTAGTTCTTACATGATATGGGAAAATGTTTTCTCTCAAGTCAAAGACATACAACGGGAACTTTTTCACTGGGTGCAGTGTGCAAGGAAGGAGAACAGCTGAAGTAAATGTGTGCTGCCAGATTGTTTCAACACTGCACAAAGCTTGAGCATTCCCTCAAAACCTCTGCAGTGTTGTCAAGAAAATGCCAAAAATAAAAGTGCCTCTGGAAAAAAAAATGCTTTGAAATTTTTTTTTTTCTCTTTAGCAAATCAACAGCTAGTATAGCTGCTAATAGTTATTTGACTAACCACACAGTCCATTTACCATCCATATTCCAAAGATATTTATTGCTGTAGTAAGAGAGTTAAATAATATGCTAAGCAGCTGTTCTTAACAATCTGTCCTGTTCTGTAGCTGAAGGAACTAGTGGCAAAATTTGTATTTATATGTTGGTCTTTGTAGTTGACAAAATCCTCTCAACTACATCATCTTATTGAATCTTAATGGCAGCACTATGAAAGAATTAGGGTGTCCCTGAATTACAGTCAGAAAACTGAAGCTCATAGTCGCAAGCTGCCTGTGTTCAAACAGGTGGCATCTTTGAAATATTTCTTTAAATATTAGAAGATTCCAGAACCCATTTTCTTTCTGCTATATTATATAAAAATTGGACACTTATATCCACCAAATTATTTTTCTCATGTTTGAAGTTTAGTTCTGAAAGAAATGAATTATGGTCTAGGTCACTCCTAGATAGACTTGCAGTATTTCTAAGTCCACCCTGCAGGATGGGCTGCTGCATTCTGCGTAATGTAAAGCTCTGCCTGAATAAGATGGTGGCTACTGAAGGACAGTCATGTCAGGAATTCTGCTACAGCCAGACATGTAGGCCAGAATGAATTGAGCCTTTAGTCCCCAGCATCCTCTGAGAATCCCTTTTTTTAGCTGTGCTGGGGATGGAAAACAGGCTCCACCATGCTAGGCAAATGCTCTTCCACTGAGTTGCATCCCCAACCCAGAGAACACATTCTTGATTGTGGAGGGCAGCCTCTAAGGTGGCTCCCAGTGGTCCCCTTCTCCTTGTATTGAGGGATAATTCCCTCTGCTTGAGACAGACTGGACCTAGTGACTTTTTTCTAATTCTGAGATTAGACAACAAAGGACTTTGGCTCTGTCAGGCCACCCCTCTTGCTCTCTAGGTCTTTCACTCTGATGGAAAAATAGATGCCATTTGTCCTACAGAGAGTACTATGTGGCAGGGAAATAAGGGGGGCTCCTGTCAATAAATATGAGGACATAAGGCCTTTTGCCCAACAACTCATAAGGAAATTAATGTTGTCAGCAATCTCCGAGGGCACTTGGGAACAGGTTCTTCTCCAGTCTGACCTAGAGATGACTTCAGATATGGTTGTAGCCTTGATGGAAGCCTTGTAAGAGACCTGATCCAAACGACATACTCTGGCTATGCCCAAAATTCCTGACCCATAGAAACTGAGATCATGTTTGTGTCCTTAAACCATTCAATTCTGGTGTAATTTATTACCTAGCCTTAAGCTGTTAAATTTGGGGGGAAGTTTGCCTCACAGCAATATATAACACTAATTTTAACAATATAATAATACATGCATTGAATTTAATTAAATTCTTTTTTCTTACCCTTTGAGGAAACAATGAGTTTCTAACTATTTGCCTTTGATTTTGAAAAGGATTTGATGTTAGGTTACTATGAAAATTGTTTAGTGGCTAACATCATTGCTTCTGGGCTGTCTGGATTTGCTCCAAAACACTGGGGAAGTTGTTGAATCTATCTGATCCTCCATGTTCTTATCTGTAAAGGAATCTACCTACACTAACCTACCTGATAGGATTTTGCTTGTTTTTTAAGAGAGTGTAAAAACGAAACAAAATGTTCAGTACCTAGGAGGTATTTAGAAAGTATTCTGTATTATGGCTTAATTACATTTTTTTTTGTACATGTAAATGCAGGTCAGTTCAGGGAGAGAAAATTCAGTACTTATATTTATGTACAATCCTGTTTTGAGATGGTAAGCTTTTGATAGGCAGAGTGGAGATTTATTAGGCGAAATAAAGAGAATGTTAGCATGAGAATTAGGAGACTTGAATTTTATTTTCTCTTTAGTTCTTAGTTTCTTAATTGAAAAAAACTGAGGTATTAGCTATAAAATTATGTTATATTTCAATCTATTTTGTAAGTCACCAAAATCTGCATAAAACAATTTCATCTACATCATGCATGTCATATTAGTAAGACCAAAAAAAAAATACTAATTTTATTTCATATTTTCCATTCATTGGACTTCTCTTTTCTTTATCTCTTCTCTTTCTTCCTCTTCTATGCAATCCTTTCTAACAAAGGAGACTGATGATGGACTCCAAATGATGTTGTTCTATTCCCTTGATAATCAAAGAACTCTCATTAAAACTAGAAATAATGACACCCTGAATGCCAGGAATAGGTCTAGGGACAGCAGTAAAATGCATTTTAAAATCTTTTGCAAGATGCAAAAGTCATCTGAGTACATGATAATAGCAGACGTGTAATGTCTTAAAATAGAAGCCAAGTTACAATGATTTATACTGTATGTTTCTCAAATCCTTTGGGTGACATGAACCCTTTTCCTGTCACATTTCTGAAGAGATAATTGCAGGAAATACTGTAAACAGCTGAACATTCACAGGTCATATTGAGAAATGTTTATAGATATTGACAGCTAAATACAACATATCACAGCACCAGGCACAAAACTTTTCCCACCTCTCTTTTACAAATCAAAATTAAAAGGCCAAGTTTTGCTTTGGCAATAAAGGAATTACAAATATTTGTTGAGTGGGAAAATGAATGAATAAAGAGTGCTATCCAAGATTATGGGTTTGAATGACATATTTGAGATAATATTAATAACCATTTTAATTTTTCTTTAATGAACTTTAAGATTATATGTGTTAACCCTTTAGATTTCAAAATTAAATAATTTACTCACAATAGGGAAAAGATTTCTCTAAGCTCTTTACTAGATAGAATTTTTTTCATATTTATTATCTAATAGTCATGCAATGTTGGTATCAAACTTTTTTAAGCTGAAAAACTTACACAATTTATTAAAAAATAAAAATTAATTTATTAAGCCAGTGTGGTGATGCACATATGTAATCCCAGCAGCTAAGGAGGCTGAGACAGGGGGATTGCAAATTCAAAGCCAGCCTCAGCAACAGGGAGGCCCTAAGCAACTCAGTGAGATCCTGTCTCTAAATAAAATACAAAATAGGGCTGAGTATGTGGCTCTGTGGCCGAATGCCCCTGGGTTCAATCCCTAGTACCTCCCCCCAACAAATTAATTTATTGAAATCTTAAATAATAGAAATATCTACTGGGAAGAAGTTGCAAATAAGCAAAAGCTCTAAATAAAGGATATTTTTTAGCTGAGGCAATATAATGTAATACTTTGGGCAAAGTGGAAAAAAATAAACTTTATTTACTTTTATTGGGCACAAGAAAAATTTACATGTACATGAAGAGAAAGATCTTCCTAAGAAAAAAGTCTAACTTTCCAATCTTTGCTTGTTAGTACCTTAAACATATATAGTCTGAATATAATTATTTAAGTTTTCCTTTAAAATAAAAATTTGTGTGTGGTTGGTGTCGATACATATACACACTTGTCAGTTTATAGGTAGAACAAAATTGCTGGTATTTTTAATTCAATTACCTTACTTAGCTATCCAAAAGTTTCAGAAATCTTTTTTTTTCCCCAAAAAAATTTAATATGCATTTTAGCTATATACTTCCCTTCTAATGGGACCTTTTTTTTTTTTTTTTGCACAGTTTGGTTTCACCTCTATTCATATAATTCATATCTTCTATTTATTATTTATAGAATTGTCCTTTACTTTGCAACCAAAAATGTATATTGATCTCTGTGAATGTTGATTTATTATTTGGAAAGCCATTTGTGCCCTTGTTCTTGTACCTTAAGGATGATAATTTAACAAATATTTTGGCA